AATCTGTCGTTTGCTTTCGGCTTAATTTGCCACACATTGATATTCCAGTAGTTTCTCCACGTATTAGTTAGGGGCTTAGTCCACCGATTGAGGGATAGTAGAGGAATTAAGTTCGTTCAGTTTGAGTGTAAAGCGATTTTAAATTAAGCTTTGCCAACTCTTTCAGTATACATAGTGAAACGTTTGATGATTTTCAAGTTTATCTACACCTTTAAGTAAACGATCTTTGTAGAAGTTGCGTACTTGCTAATTGCAAGTTCGGAGCTTTCGGTTACCAGCAAGCCGAAGTATTTGGGTCATTAAAATTGAGTCCGATTCGTTAATTTGGCAGCGTTTGATACGGTTAGTTTCCTCTAGGCATTAGTAAGAGGACCTATAGAGACCAGATCCAATGTATCCTGAATGATTTATTTCGTTCCGAGATCACCAACCTTGACATCCCTAATTGAAATGTCGTGCATTTGTACGTTAAAGGGGAACTTGCTTTTTAAAATTGATTAGAGATTGGAATAAAACAGAAACCGCCTTCACTTTTAAGTTTAAGAAAAGTACTGTAATGTCTTTCCCTTTACACAAAGCTTAAACGAATTTGTTAAAGATATTTTATTTTATAGCATACGTTAAATTGACATTTTCATAGGTTTGAGTGAGTAGGCTAAGCCGTTCTTTAACCGTAAGGATAGACAAAGTGATCACTTTAACCGTAAGAGTAGATAAAGTAAAACAAATGATTGTACATTCTAATGACATCTGTCATTCTTATTTCAAAGGCGCGATATAAAATGACATTCAGACCATATGACAATTTTGTTTCGATGGAAACGATCGCGACGTCAGAACCTAAGCTTGCTATTTTTGACGTCTCTACATTAAATTCGGAATTGTCAGAAGCTTTACAATGATTTATATGACTTATGCTATAAAATAAAGTTTTGTATTATACACTACGATAAAGGGAAACTAACCATATCGTGAATGAAGAATCGCGCATGCGCAAGTGTGTCAAACTCTCATTTCCGCCTAAACGGCTGAACCGATTGGAACCAAATTTGGTACATATTCTTTAACATAAAAGGGCAGAATCGCGTATGCGTAGGTGTGCGGGTGGTATCTGTGCTAGCCACAGCAAATTTTTTCACTTTATTTAAGATTTATACTCGTATGTGGCGCAACCAAGGGAGGTGCTTTGGGCTAAAGCACCCCCCAACATTCTAAAGAGAATAAGTGCTTACACATAGACAAGAAGTGGACAAATGAAATGAATTCGCTGTTCCGGTTGTCTTAGCGTCAGGGTTGCCAACGTTTACTTCATACGTATCGCTTTGTAGCGTTTTATTACAAAATACAAGAAAAGGAACTATTTTTTATTTTTAAATATAAACAGAATGTCTATTATTAATTATTAATTTTTTATCACCTAGACAACCACCTATCTTGTTTTTCTAGGATCTATCGATTTGCGTTAATGGTCGCCACAGTACTCCCCCCTCAGTGAATACCTAATTGTTGTAGTCGCGGAAACGTACAAGCGGTTTAATTTTTTTTCGTAGTCGAGTTGTTAAAAGAGGAGAATGATCTTCGGATGCAGTTTTTTCATTTTTTATCTCATGCCTTCTGGTAGGAAAGCTGGTTTTAGACGATCAATGCCAACGTTGACACTTTTACCGTTAAATAGAATAGTGTAAACTTTCTCACAGCGCTTGATTACTTCATGAGGTCCGGTGTAAGGTTGCTGAAGCGGCTTTCGTACTGCATCAACTCTTAAGAAGACATGTGTACATTTTTGCAGCTCTGGATGTACAAAAACTGCAGTTTTTCCATGTCGTGCTATTGGACATGAACGAATCTCACGCATTTGATCTCTAAGTCGATCAACGAAGGTTACAGGATCCACGGAAGGATGTCACCAAAGTCTTAATTACCATAAAGCAGCAAGCAAGTAAATTTTAAGGACATCATGACGGGAAAGTTGATGCCAATTGATAAAGCAATTGATGCAGGTAAAAATATTCAAAGCCCTAGAAAATCAACGTAGAACAACAAAAATTACAAACTGCGTTCACTAAGATTTTATCCAAAGAACTTTCTTTGAGAGAAGCTTCATCGCGCTACAACATTTCGAACAGTACTCTACATGATAAAATATCAGCATTGAATCGTGGTGAAGAAGTGATATTCCAACCAAAGCTCGGTAGATTTACAAACACCTTTTCACCTGAGTACGAACAAGTTTTAGCAGATCATGTCAAGGATTTGTCCAATAGATGTCTACCACTGATGAAGGAGTTTTTGAAATTAACTTTCGACTGAATCTATCAAGATCCCTCATCGCTTTAATAAAGAAAAAGGTGTTGCAGGTAAACATTTTTACTATGATTTTATGCAGAGACATCCTGACTTATCGCTGAGAGAACCAGAGTCGACAAGCATGATGGGGCTGTAGGATTTAACAAACCACAAGTAGATCTCTTTTATGACAATCTTCAAAGTCTGATATCACTGTACAAATTTCCTCCTTCCAATTTATAACTGTGATGAAAGTGGAGTAAGCTGTGTGCATAAGCATCAAAAAGTTCTTGCTCCAAAGGCTGTTCGTCAAGTAGAAAAGCTCACTTCTGCTGAGAGGGACAAAAATATAACAGTTTTATTTTGTATGAGCGCTAACGGCCACTTCCTACCGCCATTTTTCGTGTTTCCAAGGCAAAGAATGAATGATCGACTTATGATTAATGCTCCGACCGAAAGTGTAGGTGTAGCCCAATCAAAAGGTTGGATGAATAGTGATTTTTTCCTACAATGGTTACAGTTGTTTGTAAGACACTCGCACCCGACAAAAGAGAGCCCTGTGCTGCTTCTACTAGATGGCCACTGTAGCCACAAGACACTGGCAGTCATCAACTTTTGTCGCAAAAACCACATTCATTTAATGAGCTACCCGCCACATACCACCCATAAGCTTCAACCACTTGATAGAACTTTTATGAAACCGTTTAAAAATGCCTACAACCAACGATGTGACATGTGGATGCGAACAAATGCTGGATCTCGGATAACCGACTACGACATTGCTGGTCTAGTCAATGAAGCGTTCACAAAAGTTGCTCGACGTCTGGGTCTTGGTTCAAATGCACAGAAATTTATCCATTTGATAGACATTTATTTTCAGATCTGGATTATTTGGCAACCAGTATGACTAACATTCCATTAGAAGAACCAGGAACTTCCTCAAACGCAGTGGGTTACAATGGAAGGGATCTTGAATCTGTCGGTATAATTTAGATTTGACTAAAAACACAGCTACGACTAGCGATGTGGTTTTAAGAGAATCCACAGGCCGTCCTTTGGATTCTACCAAAGAAACAATCAACCGTCCCAAACCTTCGACTAGTCTTGACCCAGAAGTTATAGAATACACGGGCCCTCCTCAGAATTCTGTCAATAAACCCATAACACCAGTCCCAAGCCATCGACTAGTTTTGATTCGGATGTTACTCACATTATTCATAAATTATTGCCAGACACTAAAAAACGATCAGTTGCTCGAAAAGAAAATGTGAAAAAAGTGTAATTTTGAAGTGTTCCCCATACAAAATTGCTGTGGAAGAAAAAGAGAATGAAAAGAACGCTAAGGAGGAAACGAAAAGGATGAAAGCTGCCGTAAAAGAGCAAGGGGGACAAAATATATCTAAAGCTAAAGGAAGAGGAGAAAAGGGAAGTAAGTCAAAGAGGTAAAGGCCCAAGACAAAGATTGAAAGAAAGAACAGAAAAAGCAGGCGTTAATTGAAGCATCTCAAACAGAGAAGACCACGCAGCCTACGACGAATACTAGATACAGTGCTCGAGCTGCTAAGGGTGGACTCACGAAGCCTGTGCTGACATTCCAGAATGTTCAGATGCATACATATGTGATCGGTGCTATATGTTTTAAAACTTTGCGATGATAGGGTTTCGAAGTGAAAGTCTGTCCGGTACTAGGTGCCACTTTCTAAGACAGCGTTGATTTTCGCTATACATAATTTAATTTATGTTTTTGAATTGTTGTTATGTAGAAGTTGCCTCTTTGTTAATTTAGTTTTGTTTTAAAGTTTGTTTGCTTACCTAATTCATAAATAAAAATATATTTTTCAATTAGTCTTTTTTAATTGTTACTAAAAACCTTAGGTGTCCGCCACTAGGGACCTTACCCCTACAGGTTGGAAGGAGAAGCAAGGAATTTCTACGAAACAGAATTTGAACATAGTGCCAGCCAGGTGACATGGTGACTCTTCAAAGAAAAGGTCATCCCAAAATGTTTACCTAAACGAGTTCTAGAAGAATCAGCACTACAGTTATCAGAGGAGTAACGAACCAGTGACAGAATATGTGACATGGTTAAAATTATTAGCGAAACAAATTCCGGAAGGAAACACATGGCTTGGGCGCAAGAAGATGAAAGACCGGGAGTGATCAAGAAGACCAAAGACATCGTCATGAATCAATTTCAAATAGCACTTCGGCGTGGGTAAAAAAGGTCTGTACCAGCTAGATTAGTGGGAGAGGTAGGAGTGGCTATCGAAAAGGCGGACGAGATAGCTAAACAAGAAGAAATGGTGTCACTAATAGAATATGTACGGTAAGCTTTAAGGATAGGAAATGGTGCTCTTTCTGTAAATGGGTAACTATAAATGTGATAGACTAAGAAGATTGACCGAAAGGAGGTTTACGGATTGGCAAGACCGGAAGCATCACAAGTGGCGTACATCAATAGACTTTTAAGACAAAATAGATGATACTTTTCTTGCAAATGTAGCCTTTGTCATTAATTAGTACCCTCACTCACAGAAGTAATGATTCTCTTGATAATTCCCCATCTCATCAGTTGCCAATCCCAGAATGAATGTCTGGTACCTACTTGAATCAGTATGGAACTTTTGTATTGGAAGACGTTACTTACCTTCCTCTCATGCCCCAGATTTTTGCATTTATCAAGGCGGAGGAGACAATCTTAATTAAACGCACAGTCAAGATATTTTAGAAATTATATTCAAAAGACACGATAAAGTACAACAAGAATGGTTTCCAAAGATTACTCTAAGTTACAATAATATTCTTATTTCACTCACAGAGTTTACAAAGAAATGATGCACATGTAAACCCGGTGATTTTCAAACACGAATTGATTTATATAATTTTTGTCATCGTTCTGGTTGAAGCATATGATATCACATTTATTAATTTAATTTAACGGTTTTAAACTTGTGTATATACAAAGTGTACAATTCTCGTGCTACGACCTCATTCATTTATCACACTTCCATTCACAATAGCCCTTAAATATAATATATTTGTTCTATTTACATAGGATCTTTCTTTAACATTATTAAATAATACGCAAAAATAGACTAGAAGGAAATACAATCGTTTGTAACGATAGAGCTTGTTCTGTACATTAAAAGTGGATAGGTAAAATAGAAGTGACATCTCTCCAAAGAATTTACAAATTCTGATATTTTTAGATATGATGTTGTTAACTAATTTTGTTAAACTCAACTTTTCCCAAATGAGTTTTAAGGATATGGTAAAATATTTTACAAGATATGCCTTATAGTACGTTGTCTGTATCCGTAAAAATTGATTTATTTCATTTTTATTTACATAGCTAGAATTATTCATTATTTATTGTCCATTTTTTTTAGAAAACATTATACGAAGTACAATCTAAATGCCTTTCAGGAAGTTATTTATTCGGTATTTCTACTATCTAATCTAAACACAACTTTCTTGTTGACAACCCATCAGCGGCGTTCTAACTGTGACAACTTCTCTATGATATAAACTAGGTTTGGCTGTAGGAAACAGAGTCGAAACAGGTGATATAATAGGTGAAGTGATTGACGTCTTAACTGGTGCCGGAGGTGGTCGCCTACTATGATCTATTTGTGCATATATTGTAGGTTCATCTCTTCGCTGCAAACTTCCATATTGATTAACGCCATTCTTGATAGGTTCCAACGAATTGGGACGTGTGATTGACAGTTCGGCGTAGGTTACTTCATTCGATACCTGCACGTACAAGATAGTATTTATAATATGCTAGAAATGCAAGCAAAATCTATGCGTAAGGTTAATTTCAGGCTACTAGGCGTGTTTGTCATGCTTTAAAACAGGAAAGTGCTGAAAGTGGCGAGAAAACGCGTCTAATTTATGTTAACGCGTCAGTAAATAATTGTACGAGTATATAATTAAGTTGCGCAATTTCAATTGTCCATAAAGCAAAAGGGAAATATATTTTCCGGCCGCTGTTATTGTTGGAACGTTATTAGTTGTTACGCGCTGATTATTTTACCCCCGTACAGTTTCGCTTCGACCCTTGTTAAAGCAGATACGCTCGTCCATTCCATCTAAGCGGGAAACAAGCATAAATAAAAGTATATAACAGCACTTTTGAGAAATACACTTACTTCAACTACTAAAATACGTCTTTGTACGGCGTATAGCGACCCTACAAAAGCAAAACATTTCTATAATAAAACACGATGCGAGAAAACTAGAATGTATGTTGTGCAAAATCGTTTAAAGATTAAATAAAACTAGAACATGTAAATTAGTCAACGTGGGGTGTGACGTAATGAAATAAGCCAGCCACCAACTCGAACAACAATAAACTACACGAATATATTAAATGCAGGAATTGGATCAATTATTATGCTAACTTACTGGCTGCGGAGCATACGCCCGATCCCTGGTTATGTAAGCTTCAGTCAAGGGTGTAATATGTTGACCTGAACCTTCATACTCTGCGGATATCACTGAATTATTTAACCCTGGCGTTTGTGCGGCTGACCCCAATTGGTAGTCGGAATCTGACAAAAAAAGGCTCATCGTGAAATAAATGAAGCGCTTACATATAAATTAGTAATGAGAATAAGTACCTTTGTTAGCGGGCACTACGTCGGGATTTTTATCGTCCTTTTCGAAGAGGTCTTCTGACTCCGATCGTAATGGCAGAGTAACTTTCTCTTTTACGGGTAGAAATCCTGGTCTGAGAATATGAGATCCTTCCCCTTGAGATGAGCGGATTTTAACAACTCCTAAGATTACCACCGATACGAGTAGTAAAGCAGTCACGATCCCTATCAAGATACCCAGCATTGGTGCAATTTCAATTTGATCGCTTGTTCCCAAGGATAAGACTGTAAATACATTATGAGAATGGAACAAATTGCATGTAATCCATAAAAGCAAAAAGGCGCGAGAGTTACCTGTTTGTTTTTCCGCCACTTTTAGCGTAAATCCCTCCAATAGAACAGACTCGCTCCTTCCTTTAGAGTTGGCAGCATAAACAACCATCTTGAGATTTCTTCCGGAGTCCAATCCGCTAACGTTAAATACGGCGAACTTTGCGGAAATATTTCCTAATAGAAACCCGTTCTGTTGATCATACACTTCCAGTAGAAAATATTGGGGTTGTCCGCCGTCAAACCCCTCTATACATTGTACCTCTAACGACTCTGAGGTTTGGTTTAGTATGCTACAATTGAAAGGAGGGTCCGGCTTGCTGGCGGCTAAAATGTGAAACACGCAAGGTTCCTGTTGACGTCCTGCAAGGTTGTTGGCCCAACACATTACGGTGCCGTAATCTAACTCGGTTACCGGGGTGTAGGTTAGGGTGGAGGAGGAGTGATGCGGTCCGGACTGAAAGCGACTCTGCGGGACGTCCACAGTATTTGCCGTATTGTTGAACGACCACTTAAAGCTATCCGGGGGTGGGTAAGATTCAACTTCGCACAGAATGTGTGCGTTTTCGTGTCTTGCGACCCCATAGACCGGCTTTAGGTTGGGTCGACAGACAGGTTTATCTGCAATGTACAAAATGTGTCAATGAACAACTTAAACTATGTGATTATCTAGTGTTACAAATCGCACTAGTTCGCGTATTTGCACATCCGTCACCTACGTAATTCGATATTTAGCATAGTATCTTGAAACAGACACAAATGTAGGTGTTAAATACAAACGTTTGTGAACGTTACTGAACAGGTCCAGAATATAAAATACAGGTGGACAATATGACACATTTAATTTATTTACATTCCCTTCCAATTTAAATTAATTAAGTTAAAATATTATGTGACTAGACGTTATTTATTGTATAATTTTTTACTTTAATAAACCGGGGATAAAGATAATTCATTTGCAAGAAATAGGGGAAAGTTGGATTTTTTCATGAAGCTTCCTTTTGTGGTTCTAAACAACATGCCAAAAGTCCCCGCCGATGCATGCGTCACTGAAGATGTTACGCGAAGTCTAAGGTCAAGAATAACGGTTTTTCGCAAAAATCTTAGGAAGTTGCCCACAAAAAACATATTATTACTTTTTTTCCTAAGAGTAACGGTTTTTGAGAAAACCCGATTCAAACAGTCCTGGCATTTATTTTTCTCATAATACGTGTACTCCTCTTTACACCACCTTTAAGGCAGAGTACAAGATGAGTTATTTCTAAGTGGTATCCCCAATGAGCATAATCCTCGTCTATTTGTGATTGTGAAATATTTATTTATTAAAGAAAAGAAACAATTTTTGTTGGTGTTTTTCCTCTATTAAGCAGTGATCTATTTGATGAACTGTTTGGTCACTTGGAGATATCCAAGTGCCCTTATGAATACCTTTGTGTTGAAAGCGCGTGCTTATAATTCTCATTTCAATTTCCATACAAAACAATACATTTTTTTCCTTTTTCATTACTGTCCTGGTGTTTACTATTATCTCCTGTTACTCTCTACCAATTTTTGCGTTAAAACCGCCTTTGTCATACCTAGGTGTACTTCAAAATATTACTTCTAATTGCTCATAGTACTGGTCTTTTAGTTCTTCATCTTTCTCTTCTGTCGGCATGCACATTAATGGTTATCTGTCGCGATTTTGCTCTGATGCAGCATAATCTGCCCGATATCAATCCAACATTTACATCTTGGAGACCATAAAAGACGCCTTGAGTTTTATTATTTGTTGTTAAGCGAAGGAAGAGACTTGAAATTTTATTATTCAGTTATTATTTGAAAGACAAAATATTTGTTTCATATGTATGACGGTAGGCACTCCCACAGATGATCGTTTACATAAGAGACGCGTTAGCAAATATGCTAGATGATGTGCCCCTAAATGTCGTACGAGATTTATATTATCAACAAGACGGTGCACCTGCCCACAATACGCAAAGAGCAACACAATATTTAAATGATATGTTCCCGAATCAGTTGATTGGTACTAACGCCCCTATTTCATGGCTCGCCAGGTCGCCGGATTTAAACTTTAGATTTTTAATGGCGCTAATTAAAGGATAAATTTGACAGTAATGTGTATGCAGATTTACAGCATGTAAAAACAGTTTAGATTTGATTCATGGGATATTTCGTTTATTTTTAGAAAAGATAGATGTAATTATCTATAAATAAGGATTTCAATCGGAAAAAAAAACTTTTTAGATAAGTTAATTTCACGTAAAATCTGGTCCTGTAGCAAGGTGGTTTGTCGAGTCGATAATTTGATGAGAAATTTCGACTTGTATAGGAGGGAAGTCCGCTTAAATACCAGAGTTAGCGTTTAGAAACGCTCTTTTGACAATTTTGAGGCTGAGTTGCTGTCCTTTGAAAATTTAGAAGGCGCGCGTTTCTACATTAAAGTTGCTGGCAAAGTTTTTTGCATTTAAACAAATTCATTGATCGTCAAAGACAAGTCAGTACGTGATAATCAAGAGTCCAAGATGAAGTTAAAGCTTTAAAGAAATTGTACGTAGCAGTTTGGGATAGCAGTTTTCAGTGAAGTTGTCGTCAACCTTAAACGGACAGCCATTCGATTCATCGATTGTGTATTTGCGTTCAGCCAGTTAAGTTAGATTTAAATCAACGTTTCTGCAACCTGTTTGGCAAAGAATTTAAGAAGAGCAAGTTTAGTGCGTTACGTCGTCTTGGTTAAGGGCGTTGTTTCTTTTCGCAATTTTCGAATTTTTATTCGGATTTGTAACCGAAAACTTAGCAATCTAAGATTTTGTTTAATTTGTAGTCGAACCCATATGCGGGGTTTGTTTATTCGGACGCTGTTGTAGTCCAATTTTGTTAAGTAGGATTTTGTGTTTACTTTCATTCGTGGTGGGGCGTTTATTCAATCCCTTTAACGATTCAGATAGATGTCTCATGCTTCATTATGATTAATTTTGTTGATCTGTGCCCAAAGTTCACGTGCGAAACAGATTTGATATCTGGGATCGATCATCAACAAAGAGACAACTTCCGTAACTCTTTAGGTGTATTCTGTCCTGTAATTTTTATGCGGTCATTGTTGAATTATGGTTATAATTTTGAATATCTGGCATTATTTTTGTATGGGTGAGAAACCGTTATTTAATTTTGGAGACAATTTTATTTGATATTGATTAGAGTAAAAACCACTATTTCTTTCGTTAGTTTGATTTCACTGTTATTTCCCTTGTCTCTTGCAAGTTTTATACAGGGAAAGTGAGTATTTAAAAAAGCAATTTTGTAAGGACATTTCGGTTTTTACATTTGAGGCGAGATTCAAAGTCTGAACTTCGACAACACTGACGGACTGGAGACAGAATACCAATTTCTTGTGTGTAGAATGATGGTTGAAGATTTCCAATCAAATAATCACCCCTTTGATATGGGTGTTTAATGCATTTACAAATTTAAAATTAAACTGTTTTTATAAGTTGTTTGTTAAAAAGACAGAACACTCACGTCCATTGAAAATAATTAATTGTTGACATAAAAATAATATTCAAATTTATCTTTCGGTGTATTTTTCTTGAACACTGAGTAAATACTAACTTAATCTGCATACATTTGGATCTCGCATATTAAGCAATAGAACGTACAGCACGGAGCTCAGAAATGACTAGGAAAATAATGTTTATGCTCGTATTACTCGCATTCTAAAACTTTTCTGTGCACTTTTTGCATATTAAAGTAGATTGGATTTTTTTAAGTAACGCTACATAATTTTCAATTTGTGTTTTCTCAAAGAAGTAGAATAAAGAAGTTTGTAGTGGAATATGAATCTCAAATTTTGTTAAATAAAGGAAGGAATAGAAGCTGCGAGTATTGCATCTAAGAAAATTTAAATTTTGTTCAGTCGTTAGAAGCCGGTATTGCTATCGTGATTAGTTCAGGAGTTTTTTTGCATTTCTATTTTGTTTCATTATGAAACCAGCTACAAATTGTAAAGTATTGTGAAAATTTTTTCGCTATATTGATTATTTCCTTCCCACTCCCTAATCGTATGAAATTCAATTCCAGTTAGAAAAGCAAGGGGATTTATAACGAGTTTCAACTTCATAGTGCTTAGGGCACGTTTAATAAAGGAGCAAAGTATGAAGCTCATTCAATGTATACATTTTCACTGACAAATGGAAGGTTAGAGAAAAGTATCCTCTTTCAATGCGGTGTACAGCTTGTCCACTTTTCATTTTTGTAGTCTCTATTTCACTCTAATTTAATTCAATTTGCGAATCCTTCCGTATAGCTGTTCAAATTAATTTCAACATTTAAATGGATTAACTTATTTCTGAGATAATGCACACAAAAAAAACACAGAAGCCACACAAGAAAAATATTTATGATTAGGTAAGTAATTAATTATATAATTAAATTACTTTCGTTGATTTGCCCAACCGACAATCTTCGTACGTGTTGCCAGTGAAAGTTTTTTTTTTCAATTATCGTATGGATAAAAGAAAATGCGCGTTCGGGGTTCGAACCTGGGACGCACACTGGGGATTTTTGTATAGTGCTTTTTTTAATATACAGATGTTAGCCGTATCTAGGATTTTTATTTCCCTTGATATTGTAAGGGTTACCTAGACTTCGTTGCCCGTCCCTAGCCACGTGGAGGCCTCGGTATATTTTTAAATTATTTCTTTTCGTAGTATTATTTTTAATTTCGATTTTTAAATTTTATCACAGAAGATTCCCAAATATTTTCTTATAATTTTATTTTTTAATACATTTTCCTTTATAATTGGCCAATCTATTATTGAATTCATATTTAAATAATTTTTATAATCTTCTCTTTCTATATTATAATTATCACAATCATGAATGTGTTCGCCGTTTTCTTCTCCTTTATCACAATCACATATTGAGTTGTCTGTTTTCCCTATTCTAAAGGAATATGATTTAAATAGACCGTGATTCGTTATAATTTGAATAGTTCCTCTATTTGGGAGTGTCTTTCTTTAATTTTTTCTATATATTGGTACGTTTCTCTGCCTGTTTCTGAATTATCCTATTCTTGTTGCCACATAGCATAAAAATGTTTCTTAATTTTGTTCTTGATTTCTTTAAATGTTAACTTCTCTAAGTCCTCTTCTTCTTCTTCTAAATTTAACTTATTTGCTGTTGCTGGATGCCCATACCCGAATTTTTTCTTTTTTTGAAATGTAATTTATGTTTGAAATAATCACGTTATTTAATACGACGTCTTTCTTACTTATTACATTGTAATTTTGAATTCTTGACAGAATTTTTAAATTTGCTGGCATTATTCCCGAAATAACATTAATTGAATTAGTTGGTGTTGTTTTATATGTCTAGAATATATTACTGAGTATTTCTCTTTGTATACTCAACACTTTCTTTTTCTGTTTATTGTTTAAAATTCTTCCCCATGTTCCCGAAGCATATAAAATTTTTGGTTTAATGGCTCCTTTATAAATTAATAATTTTGTTCGTTTGTTCATTCTCCAATTTTCCTTACTCGCCCAATTGTAAAGTTGATAATTTAGTCTTGCTTTTTCCGAAATGTTTTTAAGATGATCATTTAATTGTAGTCTTTCGCCAAA